GGTTCCTTTAAATCAGAGCTAGATAAGATTTTAACAACTCTGAGTTATCAGTTAAGTTCTCTCCAAACAAGATTGACGGGCCAAATGGCCTCCTCTCATTTGGAAATTTCTTATGTTCTTACAATATGCCATAGTAACACCGTAGTAAATATGTCCTTTATTTAAATAAACCACTATTTGTAATTGAGAAACTATAGTGAGTAGGATATCTTAAAAAATGAACGGATCAACTAAAGTGAAATAACCGGAACCAATATAATGCGCGTTTTTGGATACACGGAAGATATTCGCCACGGACTGTTTCCTGTCCATATGACCTTATTCGGCAGGCATGTCGTGTAGTGTTCTGTATGTTCACTGTTTTTTATAGATAAATATAATAATATTTGCACTTGCGTTGTTTCCGCCGTAGACTATGGCTCTACATAAAGTATGGACGGCAAAAGGCACAATATGTAGGTAAGCCTACCTTTTTTTAGAATTCAGTAAACGCCAGCTAAATCCTATGTGTGCTGAGAGATTTTTTATGTACGTGTGTTAGATATTACTCATTTTCACTACATCGCCTGTGCCTATATTTGTGATACCGTTTTGGGTAACAAGGTCAGTGATATGTGATCTTTGGTCCACTATGCTAGAAATATCTCGGTTGTTTGTGCAAACTTTTTTGGACATTAATATTTTAACAGATTTGCTCAGGTCGCTGAGAATCTGCTCCCTGCAGCCTGTACTTACCACACAACAGCGACTCGGCACAACTCGAATAAAATCTCCGTAACACGCAGTGGAAGATGGAAATACGAGCGAAGCTACCCGGTGCTGTTAGTGCGCCCCGACGGCTCCACCGTCAGCATTAGATACAAGGAGCCCAGGAGGATCCTGATGGTAAGAAACCAAGGCTGCCAGCCGTTTGTATATTTATGGACAGTCCGTAAAATTGTATGTAAATCAGTAAGTCCATTTTAAAGCTTTTTAAATGTATCAATAGGGTGTCAGTAGAAGATATGGCATGTCAGACAAAACAGACAGGCTTGTGAGTAAAACCACAAATTTAAGCTTGGCAACCCTTTAAGAGGCTTCCATCCAGCTTGATCTCCCTTTTATTAAAAGCGTGACTTCCTGGTGCATCCTAAAATGAATATTAATCGATGACTAATTTATCTTAACTTATGAGAGATTTGTAGAAATGTTTTTTCAGGTATTGTATAACACTTAAATGCAATGTGCAATAAATATTTCCATGAACTAAGACTCAGTCCTTGGCATATTCGTTGCCTGTCTTTTGAAGCACATGCAATGTAATGAAACCAGTGTATTGCAGACAATCATTACCAGTATTTCCTAGAAAACTCCATGGCAATTTTTCAGTTATTTTTTCGCACTGGATGTACAGCATGCTTTTTTGCCATTCTTAGATGCCGCTGGATATCTCCACGCTTTCTGAGGAGGAGAAGAAGGCCAGGTTGAAGAAACATGAGCAGAAGAGAGCAGAGGTCAAACCAGTAGTCGAGGAGTTTGAGGATGACTTCAAAGTTGACGATTACAGCAAATTTTGGAAAAAATGACTTCTGTTTGGAACTTCAGCATCATTCAAAGTGAAGATTTCGCAGTGTGGTGTGTGAGAGTGTGATAGAGCTTTAATTAATAAAGCAGATGTTAACCTTTTCCTTTTTGGTATTCATTCTTATTCACTGAACCATTTTGAGTGTTGAGTATATGTAATATGCATTTCATAAAATAAAGAACCCCACCATTTCAAATGAGCCGCTATATAAAATGCATATCATGCTTTCTTTTTTTTTATTTTCATTTCTTGTGCAGGTATCTCAAGAAACTTTGGTGTAAGACAGGGCTGCCCAATCCTGCTCCCGGAGAGCTACCACCCTGCAGAGCTTAGGTACAGCCCTTGACACACCTGATACAGATAATCAGGCCCTTAAGAATCACCTCAGTATTAGAGTCAGCTATGTTGAAGTTAAGCTGGTTCTCATACTGAGATATAACTGAACCTATATAATTGAATCAGGCTAGTGCCTGATTATCTGCATCAGATGTGTTAAATTAAGGCTGTAACTAAGCTCTGCAGGGTGGTAGCTCTCCAGGAGCAGGATTGGGCAGCCCTGGAGTAAGATCTTCTGGGTTATATGTGATCTATTATCTGGTTTTGATAAGGTTACAAATTAATCTTTAACTACTCCCTTGCCTCAAAGTTCATACACATTGGTCTGTCACTCCTAAAATGACTCCAGCAACTGCCACTCCTGCAACGACTTCTCTTCCCGAAACAAATGGGAAGTTTACACTGGAGGTTCCCGATATCATAGTCATTGTCGTCTATTTTGTTTTTGTCCTTGGTGTGGGAATATGGGTATGTGCTCCTGCTAAACTTCTCAGCTTCTCGAATGGGCGAGTGATGCTTTTACTGCTTGCTGCAGGGTGCTGTGAGTTCTGCTTTGTTCTTTGGTGTAGCTGCCGTTTGATGGCTTGTAACATACTTGTGTGAAAACTTAAGGTTACTGGAAAACAACAGCAAGCTGTGCTAATGTGAGAACATCTTAATGAGCATCTTTGTAAGGCGGATGCTGACTATGAATGTGTCCTGTTTTCCAATTGGTATCTTTTCTAGTTTTCAGTAGAAGCACTGTGGTTTCCTAGTATGTCAGGCAGACCCTTTGACCGTCGTCGTCTTCTCCTCTCCTCCTCATTTGATCATTGTCATGTGTACTGTTCTCCTCTTCAATGTCTCAACTCCTTCCTAGTCTTCCATCCGAGCGAATCAGGGAACGGTGGGGGGGTACTTTCTGGCCGGGAGGTCCATGACATGGTGGCCCGTAAGTGTTTCCGTTACGGATAGCCCAACATACAAAGCTTGCACTGTGTCAAAATAGCCACGTCGTCATATATTAAGTATTTATATTGAAAAGGATTGTTTCAATATTTCTGATAACTAGTATCCTTGTATATTTGGAAAAAGTCAATTTTGTGTGACTCGCAGGATGACTGACAATCTGAGAAACTACATTTAAATGTACTTAGATGTTTTGGAACAGCTTCAAGGTCAATAAACTAACAAAAAATTGTGTCAAGGAAATATTTAGAAGCTGTTCATAGTCCTGGCATTTATTATATAGTGCTCATACATGTACACCTCGGGAAAAAAATTGAGACCACTCTACCTTTTTAAGAATCTGCACTTTTAAATCCTGATTTAATCCTGGTTCTGCTGACAAATGGCTACACTGTGAAGCAGGCTGCTTCCAGGCTCAAAGTTTCTAAGACAGCAGTACACAAGAACAAGGTGAAGTAGGAGACACTGGGAAAGACTGAAAACCAGTCAGGTAGACGGCAGAAGCGACTTTCTAATACGAGAGTTGACCATCAACTTTATCTGGCAGTGACCCATTAGTCAGAGCTTGACCTCAAGTGACCTTCAAAAGGAATGGGGAACATTAAGTGGTGTGAAGTGCACTGCTAGGGAAATTCACAACAGGCTTCTAGAAGCAGGACTGAAGATCCATAAAGCAAGGAAGATGTGCTTTATCAATGAGAAGCAAGGAAGAGTCAGGCTGGAATTTGCATACCCATAAATTTGAGAAATAAGTAAAACTGAAATTTTAGCTGTGGTCTCCTAATTTTTCCCAGAGCTGTATTGTTGCGCTCACTATATGAATTGTGAAAACATAGTGAACAGGATACGGGATTGCATACCCAACCCGGCCTGCCAGATGGCTCATAGTGTACATTTTGCAATGTGGATGTCGTCTCTCCCCAGATTGGAGCTTCACTTATGTCCAGTAATGTGGGCAGTGGCCTGTTCATCGGTCTCGCTGGTACTGGGGCCGCCGGAGGTATTGCTGTGGGTGGATTTGAGTGGAATGTAAGTGCAACCATCCCAAACTCAAAAACAACAATAGTACAGCTGTGTCATGTGACCATATCTATATCCAGTAAGGCTAAAGGTGTGATTAGGGCCTGCCTACTGCTGTTTTCTCTCAGGCATCCTGGGTCCTCATTGCTTTGGGATGGATCTTTGTTCCTGTCTACATCTCCGCTGGCGTGGTCACGATGCCAGAGTACTTAAGGAAGAGGTTTGGAGGGCAGCGTATTCGAATATACCTGTCAGTCCTCTCTCTCATACTCTACATGTTCACCAAGATATCAGTAAGACATCGTCAATTTATAGTCCGGCCAGTTTAACATGCTGGACACACATGCGGCAACTTTTAAAACCTTCAGCCTGGATTTATGCCGTCTCGGGTCTTGATGTTGGATTAGGTAATTCATTCAGGCTGTTTCTTCACTGTTGCTTCTGTCTAGACAGACATCTTCTCTGGAGCCTTGTTCATTCAGGTGTCTCTGGGATGGGACTTGTACCTTTCCACAGCAGTGCTCCTCATAGTGACCGCAGTCTACACTATAGCAGGTGACGGGTGATTTTCAAATAAGTAACAGCTCTGGATCCATATGGAATATGATGTTACTTGTGTGCCTTCAACCGTTTCAGGAGGCCTGACGGCAGTAATCTACACAGACGCCGTGCAGACTGTCATCATGGTGATAGGAGCCCTGACTCTCATGTTCATAGGTAGTTTCCAATTTTCCAAGCAGATTATTTATTCCCTGTCATTTGGTACTTCTGAATTTGCACCTAGAATAGCAGTATTGTTCCTATGTTAGTATGGATACCTTCCATATCCCTGATTTGGCAGATTTTCACTGGTCATTACAATCAGCTTGTCAGCATCTAGATGATGTATTTAGGTCTTCCTGAACCTTTCTGGTTTCGCATATCCTCATCTTTCGATTTATTTTTAGTCTTTGAAGAGTCACAGATTATTTTCAAAGCAGGAATCATATAGCTCTTCCACTCTTACCAATCCAAACAGCAGGAAGACATGGCTAATCTCCTGTTTAACTTGAACCCAGCATAACTGTAGCAGCGTGGTTTTATGAATGCATCACTCTTGGTACATGTTGTTCACTTCCTGCAGCATTTGACAGAGTGGGCTGGTATGAAGGTCTGCTGGCGCAGTATAAGGTGGCAGTACCCAGCCTCACAGTGCCCAACACCACCTGCCACCTCCCTCGCCCTGATGCTTTCCAGATGTTCAGGGACCCCCTGACTGGAGACCTGCCCTGGCCCGGCCTGATCTTCGGCCTCACGGTGCTGGCCACCTGGAACTGGTGTACTGACCAGGTTCTGTACTGACGGACTGAGGATAGTTTACAGATATAAAATGGGGAAAACAGGACAAATCAGTGTTAAAAAATATTATTCAACCTAACTTTTATTTGTATAGTGCATTTTCGCAGCATTACATTGTCTCAAATCACTTTACATTATTCCTGCCCAAAGTCAGAAAAAACTGCCTAGATGGGAAAAAAGCCTGGGAGGAACCAGAGTCGGAGGGGGGGTATCTTCTCTAGGCCAGAAGAAGAAGTCCAAAATAACAATGCCAATTTATACACTCCAATATGTTAAATACAGGTGTAAATATTACAATCTTAGATCCCTATTTGAAGTTTAAAGACAAAGCAGCTGTTTTATTTTTTACCAATGCAATACCCTTGCAAATTCTCCTAATTTGACCATAGCATATGCTGATAATGGTATATTATTTCATCAACTTTTAACTAAGTTGATTTTTCCAGATATACTGTTAGTAGTGCTGTAACATAATCCTTGCAGTCCTCAATCAAAATGGGAATATGTGTATATGGTAACTCCTTTGATAATGACCTGATGAGGGACTTTTCTCTGCCATCGACACCTGTGCTCTTGCTGGCCCCAGGTCATAGTTCAGAGGTCGCTCTCTGCCAAGAACCTGTCTCATGCCAAAGGAGGTTCGGTGCTGGGCAGCTACTTGAAGATGCTGCCAATGTTCTTCATCGTGATGCCAGGCATGATCAGCAGAGCGCTCTTTCCAGGTCAGTGCCAACACCAGCAGAACCGTGCCACCGCGGAAGAAGAAGAAATGCGGTGAAGCTACAGGCCTAGAGGTGTAAATGTAAAATGGAGTTTACAGTGCGTACAGAGTACAAGGTCTCAGAGCAGCATAGCATAAGGTTTGTGGTGGACCCCCATGAACCACAAACTCGGCTAAGATATAATGCTGTTTTCCACCCGCAGATGAAGTCGGCTGCGTTGTTCCTGAGGAGTGCAATAAGATATGCGGTGCCACCGTGGGCTGCTCCAACATTGCCTACCCAAAACTCGTGGTCAATCTCATGCCAGTCGGTAAAGTAACTCATGGCCATTTCTTCTGGTATCAAACATATGTGCTGCTCAGAAACAGTGTTTATCCAAACCTCCTCATTACGTCGCATGTCTTGCTACCTGTGTTTCAGGCATGCGGGGACTCATGGTTGCAGTGATGATGGCCGCCCTCATGTCCTCGCTGACCTCCATCTTTAACAGCAGCAGTACGCTCTTTACCATGGATATATGGCAGCGCATCCGCCGCCGGGCCTCTGAGCGTGAGCTGATGATTGTGGGCAGGTAATGATACTACACAGAGCTATTCAGTATTTATATACGCTTCAGGTGTCTCTGCTTAATAGTACAGCTGGACCGTGTGATTTTCAGGCTCACTTTAGCAAAACAAGAACCTCTGACTAAATGGGACAAAGCTTTCAGCGCATTTATTATAAGGGTGTAGTGGACAGGCATTCCAGGGCCTGCTAACCCTCTGCCCTACCACAAGGGGTCACTATGAAGTATTCATTCAGATGTATTCATCAAACGCTGTTATCCAAAGCAGGGGCCGCGTAAGACGGCAGTTAGGATAATTTCAAGGGCCCCTAAGTGACAGGGGCTCTAGAAATTTTGGAAAATAACTGGATTGATCAATATGATATGCTTTCATGGGGCCCAAAATCTGTAGCAAAGCCCCCGCTTAACAGTATGAAAAATTCATGCTATGATAACTGTATATCCCAGTGTGGCAGTTTTTGTTCTATCATGGTTTAACCCCCCACAACACACTCCCTGCCACTCAATAACACAAACATAAATGAAAAATGTATTTAGAAACGTAACTTTTAGTAGCATGAAATTTCTTTTTAAATTGTTTAATCACAATCGCAAACACTAGTAACATGGTCCGTGTGAATGTTAGCCTATGCATTGCCTTGGCAGGGTACTAGTCCATTGGGCTGAACGCGTTCCTCTCTGTGCAGGGTGCATGTTCTCCCTCAGTCTGCGTGCTCTTCCTCTCTGTGCAGGGTGCAATTCACTGCTAACATTACTTGTATCCTTCATTTCCTCAGAGCACATCTACATCTTTAGACTATATTAACTAGCTAGCCAGCTAACCAAAGACTGTTGTCCAGTGTTGGTGAAGTGCCGTGCTTACGCATGCGTTATGAAAATTAGAGAAAATTGTAACAGGTTAGGGATTAACTCTGAGTGAATTGGCAACATTAAATGTAACAAATATTTCATGTGATAATACATTATTAGGGTATTTGCGTGTGTGTCAGTTATTAATATAACTATTTCTGATTATTTATTGTGGTGTACCAAAGTGACGTACAGCTGAGAAAGCAGCGTTCTCCTTTGCCCATACAGTACACTAACCCGTCCAGCCACACGCTGCCTTCAGTACTCCTAGAGTAGGGTGACCAGAAAATCCATATCAGGAAGGACACTTTGAGTTACTTCAGGTTACAAACTACATTAAAACTGAAAGATCCCTATGCTTGGCTAAACAGTTCCTTCTTGTGCTTTGACTGGTTTGTTTCCAGTCAAAGTGAAAGACCGATCTGGCTGTTTCAGTGACACATGCTTGATTATGAGACTGACCAATTAGCATACTGAAGAACTCTGTGCCAAAGTGAAACCCAGGTCCTTTTAATTGAAATGGTAATTTACAAATCCTGTCCCACCTCAAAGAGTCCCCCTGTTCACCCTAATAGAAGTAAATATTGATCATTTTAGACAACACACAATTGTATTGACTTTGTTATTAGTGATGTTTTTTATATATTTTATAATGAGGAGTCCTGATTGCAAAATGTAGACCAAAATGAGGTCAAAGAGAGTGCATTTCCTGCACCTTGGTTACTGTGTGTGGTGAAAAATTCACCTCACAATTTAGGCATAAATCACTTGTTTGACTTGCGCAGTTGGCTCATCCAGCTGAACATACACAAGCATGTTCACCAAGTCCTCCATCCGTTGCAGCACTTGACAGCTTGACGTAGACCCGGTTAATTATGAGTGATACTACGTGGTGATGCTCCTCCAGGGTGTTCATCTTGGTGCTGGTGGTGCTGAGTATCCTGTGGATCCCTGTAATCCAGTCAGCCAATAGCGGCCAGCTCTTCGACTACATCCAGGCCATCACCAGCTACTTGGCCCCGCCCATCACCGCCGTGTTCCTCATGGCCATCTTCTGGAAACGTGTCAACGAACAGGTGCCCGTACAGTTTCTTTGTCAAATATAACTTACTCTTGTGTTTTACCCAGAATATGTCAGCCCTTTTGGTAACATTTTCCTTGAGGAGACACAAAAAATGTAGTAGTACACTCTTAATGTCTTAAGTCAGTTTAGTTACATATTGATCCCGTGTTCATTGGTCATTAATCAGTCATAAGTTCATATATTTTATACGTTATATTTGTTCATGATTTGTACTTGAGTAGTAACTGAGTTACTAAGTTACTTGTGCTCCATCAAGTAAAGTGTTACCACCCTTTTCTCTGTTGCGTATTTAGCTGTCACAACTTCTTTATCATTCTTTTCTGGATTGACTTTTTTTTTAAGCCATAATTTAACCACGCACTGCTTGCATATTTAGCTCTTCTGGACCTCTCTGGACATCAGGTTCCCAGCTGTAATGTCTGCTAGTTACTGATTGTGCAGTAACACTCAGATCTAAGCAAACCACTCCTTGCTCTGCGTGACGGATCAGTGCTGACATGCTAGCACAATTGTCCACTGGCTGTTGTCTTAGGGGGCCTTTTGGGGCCTGATGACAGGGCTGGCCGTGGGATCTGCCCGAATGATCACCGAATTTGCATACGGCTCGCCATCCTGTGGTGAAGAGGACCGGCGCCCCGCGCTCCTCAGGGACGTGCACTACTTGTACTTTGCTCTCATCCTGCTCGCAGTCACTGCCCTGGTCATTGCTGCAGTTAGCCTCTGCACCCCAGCCATCCATGACCAACATGTGAGCACGTCCTCATGCACACCTCACATGCAACACTTTGCGCCTCTCCACCTTATATGGAAAAGAGTTCACACTCTCATGTCCTCAGCTAAGTCATTGTTAAATGGCAATTGTAATTTATGAACTTATTTGTTTTGTTAAAATTGAATTCACTGAACTTTCTTGCTTGGAATGAATCTATTATAAGAAGAGAATGAAGCAAAGAATTCCTTCCTATTATTATGGGCAGCAAGTTTTTTCCAGGTACAGAGATTAAAGATAAGTCTGCGATGGACTGGCATACCATCCTGGATGTTGCTGTACTGGAAAAGTTAATGGATGGATGGAGGGAGAGATGGATGGATGATTATATTTACAAAACCATCCACCCATCCACCTTCTCACTACTTTCCCAGTTCAGGTTGATAGTGGAGATCCGGAAGCCTATTCCAGGCAGCACCGGGCACAAGGTAGAGGACCATGGCTGACAGGTCGAAGCGCTAAGATATGTGTCTCATTTTGCCACAGCTTGTTCGTCTGACTTGGTGGACAAGACACAGTCAGGAAGAGCGCGTCGAACTTGAAGACCCCTGGTCACCGTCAATAGCACCTGAACTCAAGACACGGGACACATCGGCGCACGCTGCAGAGACTGCCCCCTGCTGGAGGCGGGCAGGCCTGTGGCTGTGCGGCCTGTCTGAACAAAGCCAGCCAGACCTCAGCCCTGAAGAACGGCTGGCTTTGGAGAAGAAACTCAGCAGCATCAGGGAGGAGCCTGTCTGGAAGAAAGTGTGCGACATCAACGCTCTCATATTACTTACTGTCAATGTCTTCCTCTGGGGCTATTTCGCCTAACATCATGGTCTATATTTTATATCAGGCAGAAACAACAGACAGCTATGCATTACTGTTTTTTTAAAGAATGGTGAACATGAACCATTAACAAGGCATTCTGCATAGATGTATTAAAGCATTTCATGAAGCTGTGAACTGTAGTCCCAAATTTTCATAGCTGGCTCAACAGTGACACATGTAATATATACATAATATTTATAATACTGCTTATGAAAAATGTATATTAGGGTGGGGTGAAAAAATAAACATTTCCAATAGTAATTTCCAGTAGTGTGGAAAAGTTGTCACTGGACCTCGTTATTAAACGTGCAAAATTTCTTTGAAACAGGTTAATATTTTCAGATGGATTAAGCGGTATAGATAATCGATGGATGGATTGATGGATGGTTCTGCAATACGATCAAAGTTTTCACCTGTCACATCAATGGGCAATATACACTATCCATTACCTATACTCATCGGTGTTGTGTTTGTGCACTTTCACAACATGATAATCACTACAAAATACCAACGTTCAGGTAACGCAGATTTTTATTGGGTATCAGTAAGTGGGAAACGACTCATTAATTGTAATGCACGTAGAGCCGCAGAGCGATATGATGTACGTGTATGGCTGATACCCAGTAAAATTGTCACTGACCGATTGTTAGGGTCTTGTATTAAATTGGAACAATTTTACTTTGCGTTATGATATGGATGATACGTAGCGTGGATCTGCGCATTGATGTGACAGGTGAATACTTCGATCGTGTTGCGGAACCTGAAAATATTAACCTATTTCAAAGATATTTTGCATTTTTAATAACGTGGTCCAGTGACAACTATTGCGCACTATTGGAAATTGCAATTGAAAATTTGGATTTTCTTCACCCCACCCTAATGTATATACATTGAATATGTGTAGGGAAGTGAAATGGTTAAAAGCATCAGTACATTATAGTGAATAAAGAATATATGTCTTTTATGTCTGACACATTGTAGGTGAAATATGTGAAGAATCCTTGATAATTAACTTTGGTGACTCATTAATGAATGCAGCATATCCAGCTCACACATCTGAAAAATTGTAACCACTTTAAACATCTCTTGTGTAATCTGCAAAGTATTTTTTCAAACAATTTATAAAATAAAATGTACCGTACTGCTAGAAAGCCTGTGAACCCCTCAATATTTTCTAAATCCTTGCATAAATATTACATATAATGTCATCAGAAGACCTAAAACTAGATAAAGAACCCAAATGAACAAATGACAAAAATATATCATACTTGTTCCTTTATTTACTGAGGAAAATGATCCAACGTTACATATTTTCATGTGAGGAAAAAATATGTGAACCTCTATGATTAACAATTCGTTTGAAGGGCATATTTGAATTAGTTGTCTCAAATAATGAGATAACAACCAGGTGTGTGTGTGTGTGTGTTTGTGGGTGGTCCTTCCTTATTTACAGAACACAAGTCTCAGAAATAAAAGGTGTTGATGCCAGACTGGAAAAGCTTACAAAACCTTTGCTAAATAATTTGGAATACAGCACTCCACTGGATTGTACCCCCTGCTTGACAAATTTAATTGTGGGACCCCCCCACCTCTTTCCGTGGTGGCATGGCACAGTTACGCAGGGGACTGAGCACCCCTAAGGCTCAAAACCATGCCGGTCCCAGGTGTGATGAGCTTATAAAGAGTTTAAAGACAAGCTTGAAATTTCCACCGGGGGGGTTCACAAAGGATTCAACTGGCACTGCTAGTATATAGTGTACTGCAAAATGGTATTCTGGGTTTAAGTGTGTGCTGATCCTTTGTGATCTAAGCCGCGTTTTCGTGCCGCTCCCCTCTGTGCACGCTGAGTTTCCGCGTCGATCCACGCCGCGTTTTCGTGCATTCCTGGTGGCGGGGAGGGCCAGAGCGCTGGCGGAGTAGGCCGGATCAGATAGGACTGTTACGGTGGGTGTGCTACTTGTTATTACTTGGCAAATGCAAAGTCATCGTGCTACAACAGGAGTGGTATGGAGACCTGCAACATCGGGCTTTTGCTCAGCCACGCCACCACGCTCAACCTCCACACGGGCAACCTGGTGAACCGGAGCCGCTTGAAGAGGAAGTGCCCGTCTTCGCCCACAGAAGAGGTAGAAGCGCCGGAGGCCATGATCCTGTTAAATTGGGCAGGTCGTCTGGCAGTCAGGTTACAACGGGCGCTTCTCCACTCTTGGCCGTGGCAGCACCTTGTGGTCTCTCCGCGGTAGCGGCGCGGCGATCCGCGTTCCCGCCGAGGACTGGGTGCAGTCCACAGGTCGGCGCTTCGTACAGTGCGGGCGCCTTTGTCGGACCAGTGCGATTTACTTTATATGTACCTCCTGTATACAGGTACAGCTGTGGGTATTGTTTATTACCGGGCTAGGTTCGAGTAGATGCAGAAATCTGCATTAAGAGATTTTTTAAAAAGATAAAAATTAAGCCCTTGTATAATGAAGACTATAAGTGTATCAGTTACGAGGGATGTGCACGATGCGGTATTTCGTTGATGTCGTTGATGATATATATGCCAAGGTCTGGTTGATTAATATGCTGCCAAGTGAACTTTCATATTGAAGAAGATTGCTTTTAAGCGGTCTTTATTATCCTCATAGGTAGGTTTCAAAAAGACCATCGTAGATGCAACCGTGCCTTGTCACAGAGTGTGTAGAAATACACTGCTCACATAAAAAAAAATGCGCGCAGTCACTGTACAGCTTGGTTGACCATGTGCTTATTACTATTATTAGATTGTCAAACGAGAGCATCATGTTTCTTTACGCTATTCTGACTTGCCGCATCATTCATTGAAAATATTTCTCAGTGATATCCCATAGATATTATATACTGCCATGTCCTATGTTTGTACGTGATTACTGCGGCAGTTACAAAATTTCCTTGTAAATGTGTAATCCACTGCCACAACGATGAATAAAAATCCTTCATCCTTGAAATGTCCCAGATAATAGCATAGGATGGTGCTGGCCCATATTGGACTTAAAATCCTTTCCTTTCCCCATGATATCCTAGGCAAAATTTTCTTGTGTCATATTAAAGTTTCAGGTAAATTTCGCTGAATTTGGAGACATGATGAGGGAAAACTTGCATATAAATTATGGAAGGCCTTGAAAGTGAAGTGGAAAATTTGATCGCTTTCTTACTGGAATTTTAAAATGGACACCAGATGCTTTTAGCTTTTTTGATGGTGACTGGATAACTAATGAAACCAGAATGAAATTCATGCTGAAATGGCCTCCCTGTCTGTCATAGTCCCATTGGGTGGAATACAGCATACGTTTAACTTGTTGATTTGCAAGTTGAAAACTAACCACCAGGAAGATCATTAGTCATGATGTGTAGGCTTATTTGTTGATAAGGATTTCCCTGTCCTGCCTTTGTGTACGTCAGACCTTTCTTTCTAATCAGTCAGCTAAGCAAGAATGTCTCTTACTTGCAATACATTATCATTTCAGCTTCAAGATTGTATCCAAGCCACGCTGAATGAATGGTCTGCCACAATTCCCACAGCTTTGGACAAAGTAAGTTTGGAACCATATTGTTCCTTTTTGGTGGGATTAAAAGAACATCAGTGCACATCCACTCATTGTCCCTGACTGTGTGTTTGGTACAGTGTCTTGGTGAGTCTGGGGGCACCAAGCACAGGGGGACACCCTAGATGGGATGATAGTCCATCACAGGATGCACAGGCACACACACATACACACACACTCGTGGACAATTTATAATTACCAGTTTACCTATGAACACAAGGAGAACATGCAAACTCCACATCCAGAACCGAAGGAAGGAATCGAAGCCAGAGCCACGGAGGTGTGACCAGAGTAGTAACCACTGCAGCTAACCACATAGCCCTGTGGAAGGGCCGTTAGGATACTGGGCAGAAATGCATCAAACTCCACACACAGAGACCCTGAGGAGGGGATCCTGGCGCTGAGGAACTGCAGTGTTAACCACTGTACCCAGAGCTGAGCCCACATTGCTGTGGCCACGACATAATACTTTACAGCCAGTGGTTAGTAATAGTTTAATTTCTCACTCAATATTAACTGGACTAAGTCACTTTGATGTTAGATACCAGTGGTTATAATAATCTGTTTATGGTTTTTACATGCCTGCAGTAACTCCAAAATGAGGCAGCTGGGCGTGAATTTAGTGTACAAAGGATCAGCTTTATACAGCTCATGTTTAAAAACACTTCAGTAGAATGTCACCATTTGAAGGTGTATGAGTGATATTTGGGTTATGCAAATATGTGTTGCAAGAGGCCCATTATTACCCAGTTTAGTTATATTGTTCAAGTGGTGTTTTTCCCAGCCTCGGACCAGTAAAATATGAGACGTTTCGCACAACCAAACAGGGCGCTCTGGAGGTGGGTGCTCGTTCCCCCTCATTTCTGCCGCGGTCAGCTAATCTACACCGGCGTGCTCAGTCAGCATTGCAGCCATCTTAAACTCCCGTTGGAAAGTTTAGTGGATCTCTCCCACACAGGCCCTAGAAGAAGCTTGCCCAGAAAAGCACATGTACCATTATTACACTTGTAATTCTATATTACACTTATAGTAATTAATTTTAAGGTATAATATTAATATTACACTTAATTTGGAATTTTATACCCTCTGTTGATCAGCCTAATGTATCTGTGGTGGTAACTGAATAATGATTTTAGGGCTTGCCCAATACTCTGGAATGTTCTGTCGCCGAAGCTGCCGACATTATTGCACCAGAAGAGAGAGAGGAGCTCAAGGTGTCTGGTAAGTGATTCTCCGGAACGTTCCCCTTAGGCTTCTGCCTTGGGTGATTTTACCTGAAGGTAACTAAGTTTGTCAGTATAGATGTGTTTTAGTGGCTGTTTCCCACTGCTGTGAAGTACAGCCTTGGCCAGGTGTTTCGTCACACTGATCTGCAGGAACTGGGAGGAGATGTTTTTGAGCAGTGATTTTGCATTATTTATCTTCTCGTTCTGTGCAGCAGTGTTGCCGTATGGCCTCTGCATGACTTGCATTCTCTCTTCTTTTAGTGAAGCTCTTTCTCAACCGGTCTGATGGCTCGTCCATCACAGATGCTGTAGATTTGGGTGAGTGGAGAAGCTCTCCTCCTCCCAG